TCTGACTGCTTGTGAACACTGTGAATGTTCACTGATCATGAAAAAAACATGAGTGAGCAACGTCCCTTCCGATCTATGAAGCTGTATACTGTCTGACTTGAAGCCTCGTTCTATTCAGTCACTCTGCATGCTTTCATCTCGGAGAAGAAAAAGCAGATATGTTATTTTTACATCAGCTTCAGACTAAAGTCCAGTTTTGTTGAACTCATAAATTAGTCACACAGGTGTCTGTTTTATAAGCACTCTGCAGCCGTACAGCGTCGCGGTAATTGAGCCTGATCTCATTTGCAAATGAAACACATGAATTGTACAGTAATTCATACAGGCTCGGGTGTAAGCAGGGATTAGAGTGATGTTAAGTGTTTGCCAGGCGCCAGAGCTGCGCTAGGCACATTAGATGGCTGACTAAGTTGGCATGAAGGCGCTTTTGCCCGTGCCAGGCCCCTTTAACAGCAGGTCGGCCCCCAGGAGGTTCAACAATACAGATAATCATAATTCACTCATTAAAACTGAGGGAGCTTGATTGCACTCTTCACTGGATTTAATGTCCAGTAATGTTGGGCAGCTTCCCAGAATGGTTTGGATTGGCATTCACTTAAACGTGTCTACTTCTGACTGTTTTTTGTTTTTTTTTCTTCCCTTTTTGCATTGAGGGCTCAAGGAGAGAAGGCGAATTCAGATTAATGTTTGCTAATGAGGCCCCTATCAGTGTTGAGAGAGAGTTATTGTTTGGGTAATTTCTCTGTTTATTCCAGGCTTCTTATTTCCCATCCTCTCTATCTTTTATTTTTAGCTACAAAATGGAGGATGGAGGAGCATTTCCATTCAACAGCATGTCTGGGCCCCACATTTTTTTTTTTTTCTGATGTTCCCTCATCCTGGCCTTGAACATTTATTCAGCAACGAGCCTACCAGTCTAAGTGCTAAGTGCTTTAACAGTATTGAGAAAGCCTTTTGTATGCAGTAAGCCTTTTTATCTAAACCTTCACACAACACCGGCGCAATTCAACATAAATGCAAAATTGTCAAGAAAACGTCAGACCTTCACCCTCTTGGCTCGTGTGTTGTGAAAGTCCAGGCGAAAAGGACGTATTTTCAGCAACCAGCTGTGTGGTAATACAGCTACCTGACACAGTCTTAAAGAGTTCTTCATAAAGCTTTTAAAAGCTGAGGCTGCAGTTGCGTGAAAAAAAAAAAAAAAAAATCTCCCACACTGCAAAGCGAGGCCATGTCTATTCATTAGAACTGTCACAGGCACTTAGGGCTCCTCTGAGTAGCAGACTGCTAACAGCGTGGCGACAGGGGGTGAGCGCAGCGCGAAGGCTAACAACGACATCATCCACACTTTAGCTCCGGGCTACAGTGCACAGAGGGGTCAGCCATGTTAGTCTTAGTGAGCGCTCAGTGGTTAATAGGGTCTGTTCCATTTGATCATACAGCCAATCTAACCTGGGAGAGCTCAGCTGACAGAGCCCTTTGCAGCGGGAGGCGGAGGACAAGGCAAGGGACGGCATTGTTCAGGCTTTAATGTGCTTGACATTTGAGTGCCGATGATCAAATCTGTCAGACTGCAAGAGGATTCTAAACAAACTACATTTTAAATGTCAGTCTAAGTGAACACATGGCACTGAAGTATCAGAAAAAAAGGACTGGAACAAATGCGGAATAAACCTGTGCAGCTCTCTGATGTGCAGCATTTGAATTGCAAAATTATCTCTAGTCTGTGCCACACCAGGACTCATTATACAGACCTATCTACCAGGATGGCCTTGCACTCCTGTGTGTATTACATTCTTTTAAAAAAAGTTGTTTTGTTTTTTTTTTTTTTAATTTAAAATGCTTCAGCTAAAGACTTTAGAAGTATTTGCCTTTACCTGTAACACACAATAAAGCTTTAACTTAGAACATAAGCGAGGTTGCCTGTTGGAGAGGGATTCCAAAAAGCTGTGGTATAAGTAATTTGAAAGGCTCCTGAAGGTGAAGGATAGAAACAAGAGGAACAGCCTCCCATCAGGTGAGGTGAAAGAAAAAATGGAAAAAAGACAATAATACAGTGAAGGTGACAAAGACTCAGCTAAATGAAGAAGCAGACAAATTGACAAAAGAGAAAAAAGGAAAAGGGTGTGAGGCTCACTTATCTATTGATCACCTCATTTCATTTTGAATAAGCTCATTAAGAAAAAAAAAAAAGAAAAAGAAAAAAGTACCTGTCAATCTCCATATGTGGAGTTACATTAGGCTCTAAATGAAAAGCATTACCACAGCACTGCATGAAAGACATTTTTACAATGCGTCTTCAAGGATCACAGCAATTCACATGAACGTTTACAAGGCCCAGAAACAGAATTACCATTCGTGCCAGCACCGTATGTTTATATTGCACATAAACTGTTTATATTGCACATGTTTATCTCGTTTGTTTTTGTCTAAGTGTTTGCAACGTGATCAATGCCACTTGTTAGTCCCCGGGGATGGCAGCTCTGCTAATTAGCAAAGGAAGAGCAAATTCAATACCTGGCTATGTTTTAGTTTCTTTTTTCCCCAGAGGGGAGTAACAATGTGCAGCAAATCATCACATGGACATTGGATGAATATTTCAGAGGAAATTAATAAAAAAAATATTTTGGCATGGAATGTTGTGTTATGTATCTGTTACATTATATGTATAACAGTGATATAATAAATATTATAAATATTAATATTTAGAAAAATACATGTATTTATTATTTATTTTAATTTTGCTTAGCAATGTTTTGACTTTAAAGCTCGAAGCTCGAGACCTCATTAATGAAAGAACATGGAAATAATTCCGATTTTCTGAATCTGAATCACGCATCTGCAAAACTCTTTATGTTCTCATTATGTACAAAATCCCTTTTGCAACTTCAGATAACTGTTTAAATGAACCCTATGTTTTTCAGAGCAAAAGGAAAACAACAGCAGTGGAAAAGGTTACAACTGAATATATGCACACTCTCTAAAACCAGTCAAGAATCATTTGATCACACATGATATCAAGAAGAGTAACCATGTTGTTTACAATATAACATGCTTTGCTCATCCAATTATAAAGTATTAAATGTTCCTGGTCCAGTAAGAGATGTGAAAACATTTACAGTTAATAAAAATAATTTGTTCACATTTACTGAAATGGATTATTAAGTCTCTTGAGTGTTTCTGCTGCACATGGAAAACATGCAGAAAACAAGTAATATCAGTTAAGAAAACTCCAGAACTAATTAAAAATGAGCAATTTTGTTATAAGCAAGGCCGGGTCTGGTTGTATTTGGATTATACTGTACATGTGTTGGGAGGAAGAAATGTTTTTTTTAAAAAAAGCACACACTTAAAGCTGTCCCCGAGCACTTCCTTCCACTCATGTCCCCTTTGATTTGACAGGAAGATGTCACAACACTTTTGAACACACACACACACACACACTCACACACAAGTGTTCTTCCTTTCAAACCAGTTTCCGTGGTGCAGATAAGAGGCAGAGCTACCTATCTTTCAACTAAAGACACTGCACTCGGTATTACGCCTCTGGCTGTCCTATTCTGGCCCACTTTACTGTATCAATAACAAAGTAAAACCTCTAAATGAGAGAGATCAAGCACTCCTCTGATATCATCACGATTACTATGTGCACATAATAGTAAAGAGGGATGTTAGATGGTTTTAGATCTGGCTTGCTTTGGGTGGGAAGGAGCAAGCTGAGGCATGCTGGGAGACTCCAGCGCTTTCCTGTGTTAGTCGTGTAGATCAGAGGAGCACAGGAGAAAGGGAAACCTGTGTTTTCACTGATTGATATTGTGATCTAACAAGCGAGGGATCTGTCAGTTGTAATTTTAGATGTTCAAAGATCCCCTGGAGAGGATGTGTTCAGAAAGAGAAAACAAAATAGCCAGGCAAGGTTGTTCTCGCTTTATGTGTGAGAGAAGAGAAAATGAGCAACAGCATCATGTCTATCAAATGTGAGGGAATAAACTGATCTAATAAAAGCCCTTCACTCCCTTTCTGTTCACAGCAATCCTGTCACTGTGTCGCAAAATCAGCAATCTGCCACGGGATTAAATATTTATGAAAGGTGTTTAAAGCCAAAATCTGTAAGGATGTATCCTTTTTTGCTAAAATGCCTTTATCTCTTGGTTTTCTTATTGTCTACTGTAGACACGAAGGCCAGCACATGACTTGCGCTCAAGCTCTGGCTGACAATCGAAAACAAAGTTTAAACTTGAACATTTGTTGTACAAAGAATGGTCATACTATAAGCTACATCCATTGAATTATTTTAAAATTAGTCATGTCAAACATTACTTGCAACATGGTATTTTTGCTAGTTTCAACATCAGTTCAATAATAGATTTCTGCTGTAAAACTTCTATTTGTTTATATTTTCAGACTGCTCTGCCATCATTTTATCTCTACAATAGACAATAGTTTGACTGGAAAATCAACAACACTTAAATGACCACAGGTTGCTTTCTCATTTTGCATCAGAACATAAATGTAGAATATGCAAAAATACCTATTTGAATTAACAGTTTGTGATTTCCTGCCCTGAGGGAAACAATATGGATCAAATTAGAAGCGATTTAACTTCTCACATCGGCATCATGATGATATTTAACCAGAGATTACCACTATGCAGTGAAAATCTTGCCTAATTTTCACAATTTGCCAGCTTAAAAATAAGTAGACCAAAGGATTGTATGATTCTCAATGGGTTTTTACCATTTTTCTAACCATTACAAGTTAATAAAATTCTCTTAAAGGCCTTCCAATAAAGCCAAAAATGTATGATTATTCAACCAAAGCAGAGTTGTTTTACTGATGTCTTGTAAAGTTATCTTCCTCTAAACATCTTCACTTGGTACGTGGAATAGTGGCTGCACAGATCTGAAGGTAAGATTAGACACGGCTGAAAAGTAATGATTACGCCCCACGTTCCCTGCTGAAATTACAGATACACACTCACACACAGCGATCTGAAGACTCACCGTCTTGTTCTGTCTTGGTCAGCTCCACAAGCTTCTTCTGTTTCAGTGTGTCCACCACATCTGCCAGGCTGCCTTTGCGGCGCTCTGGTGTCCCGAAGGCGAGGCTGATCATGGGCTCCCCACGATCCCTGGAGCACTCCTCTGGCTTGGGTGGAGAGGTAGAGTTAGTCCGGTAGGAGTAAAGCGAGCAGCCTTTACTGCTTTCATTGTCCTGGGAAGAAGCAGCAAATGAGAGTTTGAAGTTACAAGCAGAAGAAAATACATCCCACAGTGCTTTACTGTGCATCCCCACAGTATTATTTTGGATTTAGCTGATGCTCACTTAGCTGTACTTAACCCTGGCATGGGCTGGCTGGTGTGACACGACAAATGTCAAGTTTAGGATTGCATTTTGCTACTGCCTTGAACGTGATGATTACAGTACTTGATCTATCTGTCAGCACAGCGCTGTAGTGTTGCTCCACTGCATGTCTTTGTACTGCTCGGGTCGCTGACGTGTGATACTACGACCCACTGAAAGATAAAAAAGCCTGACATATGTTTTTTTTTTTTTTTACTTGAAGGCACTAAAAGTATGTCACAACACTGCCTGGTATTTGTGGTCGAAATATTGATTGATGCACTAATTTGAATGCACTAAAGCATTATTTTTGTTTCTAAAAAGCTAGACTTATCTCTTTACTACACCTTGCAATGTACAGCTTTAAATGTTATCATTTTTGTTTCTAAACGATATGCACACAGAAGAAAATTTCATATATCAGGTGATGCTGACTGATATGCTTAAAAAATCCTATTGAGACCACAGCCTTTATATATGAAGCACAAGACATTTCTTTCGTTAGAATGTGGATGAATTCCTGTTTCATTGAAAGTGGCACGAAGCTGGAACTTAAGCCTTGTTCAGGCATGATAGCTATCTAATTGCTCTTTATACTTTCTGCTGTGTGACCAGAGTGTGTGTGTCCCTCTGCTGTTCGCTCTGCTGGGTTATGAGTTAAGCAAGAGGCACAAGGAGTCTATATTTACCAAGAAGATAAGCCCTTCAAGATGACCACATTGTCCCACACAACAGACACTTTAGCACAGGTGTTCTAACACCCGGGTTATTTCTGGATGCTTTCTCCGCCCCTTACAGAGTGGGGGGATCTCCAAGAACTTTAGGAGGCTTATGTTTCAAAGACAAGGGGCTTTGGCTAACAGCGGGATCTTAAGACGCCCTTGAAATGGCTCCAGGAGGCCCTGTTGTGCACTTTGTCTTTAAGCAGAAGATGCCTCTGTAATGAGGATTAGGAGATACTGTGTCACTCGTGGATTGTTCAGGTGTGTTCCTCAGGTCCGTACAAGGAGTTATACAAACAGAATGATGCGAGCAGAAGGTCTAATGGTCGGATCAAATTATAAACTAAAAGGTCACACAGTCACTCTCGGCAGCAGACAATGCATGTCCATGACTGCTCCTGTGAATCTGTAAATTGTCCTTGAGCAAGGCACTGAAATCTGAACTGGTCACCTACTGGATGTCACTCTGGATACAACAACATGATGCTTGAGTGTCAAAATTAAAAAATATCACAATAAGCACAGCAAAAGCTTGAGTAAATTTGTATATTTTCTCCAATTAAAAGTGTTACACTCTAAGGAGGATTATTTGTATAATAAGAAAAACATATTAAATATAATATAAAATATACAAATATTATTTGTATGTAAGAAAAATCACAAAATACATTATAAATAATATTTTATAATGTTTAAAACACACACACACACACACACACACACACACACACACACACACACACAAAAACTGTCTCTCCATTCTGGACAATGAACTCTAAACTTGTCCCAGTAAGTTTTGTGCAAATTTGTCCTCACTGGAGGCTGGAGACGGGATGAAGTGAAGCCCAGTATTGTTTCACCTTCTCTGCCCACCACGTGCTGCTGCATGTGTGTTGTATTGAAAGATATTTTGTGCAGTGTTACTGCTTTACCGTCTTGCTGTCCTAATGGGACCCAAATTTTCTTCTGTTTTAACCGTTGAACTTGGTTCACTTGGGTCAAAAAACTACCTTCCCCTTCTGCATACACTTGAAAGAATTCCCATGAGTCTCCAGGGATAGTCCATCAGGGACAATAGTCACCTTCACAAGTGCATATGATACAAGACCAAAACTATAAATATATTTAGAAAAAAACAGTAAAGAAAACACAGTGAAAAAGAAGAAAAGTTCAAGTATTCAGGAACATTTTTGCCTTGAGGCAACTTTGAACCCTGACCCTGGTGCTAAGTGAAGTTCGGTTCTCAAATATCTTTTTATGAATGCTTAATTGCGTTTAACATCCTTGTTATGTACTAAGAGTGGTTCAATAGCTCAGTTAAAAACTAAAAAATTATTTTTAAAAAGTTGAATAAATAGAATCATGCTTTAGTAATATCTGGTAATCAAAAATTCAAACTTTTCAAAAACAGATTTTTCTTATGTGGGAATGTTAAGTGTGTTCTACCACAACAATGATAGCAAAGGAAACTTCAGTCTCAGAACTTTCTCCTTTCCTCGGAGGCTGAAGTCAAACGCCTCGTCCTTTAGGGACCAACACAACCTGAAGCCAAGTAACTAACACACACACACAAACACATGAAAACAGGCTGTGGAGATGAGAAGAAGCAAGGGGTATAACTCTCCAGAGGACAACCCTCACTGGGCTGCCTACAGCACTGCCTGTAGCACACAGACCAGAAAGAACTGCTGGTGTGTGCACAGTGTGTGTTTGTGTATACATGCATTTAAGAATGTGTGCACTCAAGAGTGCACAATCATCATTATGCATGAGAATTTGCACACCCTGTGTACTCCAGGATGTATTTCATGAGTGTTTTATGAGTCGCATGCCCCAAGTGTGTACACTGTGTACACACACTAACCGCATTTGTTTTATAGATTTGAGTTATAGCAACATATCTCAAGATAAGATATGGTCAATTTCAGTGCTCTGTGCATAATTCACTTCTCACCATCACAGCAGGACCGACATTCTCCCACTCAGCATCCGTCGGTTTCTCTCTGATTGGCTGCAGTTCATCCGGGTGGGGTTGGTCATGCAAAGGGGGTGACACCGACTCCTTTGGGTCCTCTCGCTCGTCACAGGTCCAGGCTGCATTGTCCTGACCTATCACTTCCGCTTCCTCGGACGGTGGTTGAAAGGGAGGCGTTGCTCGCATGGAAGACATCATTCTGAAAGGGAAAAAGTAGAAGGTTTTAATTTTGGTGGCCTCAGTGGATTGCAGTCTTGTCAACCAAGTTGGACGCAAACTGAAGTGACACGTGAATAGCGATAAAAACTTGTGTTGCATCACATGATGATAACGTGAGAGATATCGATCATCAGAAACCAGACATGAAACCAAAACCTTCCTGGTACATTTGCTGTGGAACACTGCACACACTAAAATGCAACCAACAAAAAAAAGAAGAAAAAAAAATTCTATTCAGAAACTTTATTTTGAAGTGTGTAAAATTGTGCAGTTAAAATATTTCTCTACAAATTTAGAGCTAACACACTGTATCATTTGGTTCTGCATACGTGCTTTAATTCACTTCATCAAAGTACAGTTTTCATTAAATTTTTATTTTCTTTTACTTACTTAAAGGAAACGTACAGATTTACCCATTTGACACCATGCTTTACTACTTATCAATAGTTATTTTAATGGTCGATTACTTGTTATATTTACTGTATTTTAAGCTCTGTAATTCAGAAAAGCACATAAAAGTGTATTTACAATTTAAATTCCATCCCATTCCTCATGTCAGAAATATTTCTTGAACAACTTGAAGGAATTTTTTCAATCTTGGTACAAACATTTACTTGGATGAACTGTTGGATTTTTGTGGCCAGAGGTCAAAGGTCACGGTGCCTCTCAATGGTCACTGCTTTTTGATTTTAGCAGAAGAATTCTAACTATGACAAAAAATTTAAACAAATGTCTAACAGTATAAAATGAAGTGGTGACAGTTTATATTGAAGGTCAAAGGCCATCTTGTGACATAATAATGTTCTCTAATTACTCCGGCTGCTATTTAACACCATAACTCAGGGGCAGAAGGAGAGATGGTAACCATACTTCACATTTGTGCAGATTTTGAATTGGTGGCACTGATCTTGGGTGCCCACCTTGAACCAGTTTTGACTGTACAGATCTTTTGTGCTGTCATGGCTTCTCATACTTCAAAGTCTTTACCTCATATATTGACTACATAATATGAATGTGGACAGACATTGATTAAAATTGAAACTTGACTTCATGACAAATGTATAAAACCAAGAGGTTGAGAATTCTGGTTTTACTTACAATTCATTCAAATATAAAATATTATATCTGCAAGACTTCTGCAGGTTATGTGCACTGTTTGTACTGTTTGTACCATTCTTGACTATCTCAATTGTTGGAATTAAGAGTCATTGTAAATCAGGGGTGTTACCAGTCTAATACAACCAAAAAAATCTAGGTTGGTCTACTTTTAGTGTGTAAAATAATTATAGATTTCCTTTTTTTTGTCCACCACCGACTGCACATTGATGCCACAAAAAACTGTTGGAGATTTCAGAACCATGCATTTGAATAGATAATTCAAAGCCACAACTTTACTTAAAATGCTGAGACATAAATGCTGAAGATGTAATTACTGCTCACTCACACATAGCTAAGCAATTTTAAGTACATATCATATTTTTGGCATTTATGGACACACTCATTCAGAGCAACTTACACGCTTTCATGCTGAATGCTCCACACAAACACACACACACACACACACACACACACACGCACACAGGCTGAGGCACATGGGGATAATCTATTAATCTATTAAGCAGCATCAAGGCCTCTCATCACCTCAGAGCTGTTAAAGAAGCAGACGCTGTGCTGCTGAGTTTGAGTGGAAAACTCTCTTTTTTCTATTGCACGCCTCAAGCTGAGAGTGTCATTAGGCAAATACATCATTTCCTGTAATGACTTCCCTTTGTTACACAGTACTTATGAGGACATTCCCTGACCACATTTATTCTCTCAGTCGTTCTCTATGCTTGCTGTGTCTCAGCCCATAGACTGTAGTCCTAAATACTTATTTTATCTAAACACAAGCTCACTTTTCTGATCATATGCAAGCACCGTGCACACACAGATACACATACATAAACACACACAAATTCAAACAGTTCTATGGCAACAATCACAAATCCAAGGCAAATTGGTAGGTGATAACTCACAATATATACTCTAACAGAAAAGGCATCAGTGTAAGTGATTCTTAAAAACAGTGCCTCCCCCCTCCCCCCACACGCCACACACAGACACGCATTAGTAATACCTGGATCTCAACTTATGTGAAGCAAAACAGAATGCTACTTCAGCACTAGTGCTCAGTAAATCACAGCAGGCTGTCCATCTCTGAAATATGCAGCCTCCTGGGTGCCCTTAAACCTAAGTCTGACCCTCTGTCAAACGTCTAAAAGAAAAGAGCAGGGTTGCAGTCTGTGTGCGCAGGGAGGCAGAAGAAGGTGAGTAATAGCTCATTTACAGAGGGAGTTATTAAACACTACGGTAACAGATTCAAAGCAAATGTGAGCTAAACTGAGAGAGAAGACGTGCACACAGCATTATGTAAAAACTGAGAGAAGGAAGGAGTGGACAGAGAAGAAAAGTGCGTGCCAGCGTAGATCCAAACTGTGAGAAGTGTGTGGTGTGTAGCTGTGGAGAAAACTTGCCATTTTTGTTCCGTATGTACAGCGTATCTGGGTAATTTGTGATGCATCATGTGGAAAGAGTCGGATTCCCGTGTGGTTTCCACTGTTGTTCAGTCATTCCGAGGGTCATAATGTTCTGTGCACGTCGTCTTTTACTACCTCGGTAGGAATGCAGCTTCCAGTGACAGTGCAATGCAGGTTGAATTAGAGGAAGGTTGGACAGTGTCGTGGCATGAAAAGCAAGACTTACTCAACTCTGACCTGAAGATGCTGGACAGACATTAATAGTACACCATGGTAACTACATCACCTTCTTCTTTAGACTGAAAACAAACTGAACTGCTGTCTAATTCACTAACCTCATGGAAAAACATTCCAATATTTTATCTTATTCACATTCAATTTCTTTTTTTTTCTTTCTTTTTTCAGTGTTCCTCTATTTTCCTTGTTGCAGGGTTTCCAAACAAAGAAAGTTGAAAATCATTGAATTGCACATTATTTTGTCGGTGTAAATTGGTCTACATAAGAGAACCAGCTACATACTACAAGCTATAGTAAATATTTATGTAATACTAATTTATCAAATCCGTAAGTGCATGTGAAAGGGGACACTTATAGCGATGAACATACAAACTGGACAGCTCTACTGAACATTTTAGCATCTTTTAGTAACTTAACCACTTTGGTTTGGTCTCATCACTTTAATCTCTGCTATATCCACCTTAAACCCCCTATTGTATGTCACTTACCCAGCACAGGAGCCATGGCATGCAGTCAACTTAGCAATTACCTAGTGGTGAATATGCATAATACAAGGCTGAAGACCTGAGTATTTCTTTAAGGAGGTGGTGCAGAAAAAAAAACAGAGTTTGAAAGAGTTTCCAAAATCTATTAAAACCCTAATACCAAATCAATCAATCCCTAAGCCGAATGTAACTCTGAAAATCAAGGCAAGCTTTCTCAGACACCAAAGAGTTTTGGTGAAGTTTGGTTGCACAAGGTTTCCTTTGCTTTGTAGTGTTTTGAATCCTTCATTGTCATGTTTTTTTACAGCTTGCCTCCAATGCCATCCTTACTCCACCCATGGCCCGATTCGACTGATTGGAATTGCAGAAAGTTTCGGTCTGTGTTTTGAATTTCTCCAGTCCTTTGTATTTTTACACAGCGGTGTGAGTACATGAGGTTGTAAGACCCCAGACAACCAACAAACAAGAAGTCCCTAATCCGTGATCAACTGGTGCAATCCACACTGGAGCGATGAGAGAGCGAAGGGGAGCCGGGGAGGGAGAAAACAGAGGAGAGCCTATATTTAGCTGACAATATTGCTGGTGCTGTGTTTATGGGGGAGCTTAAGACTTGGTTTCTTGGAACTGGTGTCTCATATGGCCAGGAATGCCCAGCCCCTTAACTCACTGCCACTGATAGGGTTTCATCATGCAACAGGACGGGGGTTTGTTGGTAAGCAAGCCACGACGCCTTTTGTGATTGGTGGGAGCAGGAAAACAATATACTTCATCAGGAAAAGACTGACATTACTAAAGTTGAGATGATTCCATTGTTTAACTAACATGACAAATATTGAGCTCAACCAATTAATTGCTATGAACTGAGTTAGAAGCTGCTGTAGTTTTTCTGTATATGTGTGTGTCTTTTGTTAAAATTGTTGATCAATACCCACAGTGTAATACAAATGAAGAGTTAATTTGCAAAAACAGTTAACTCTTCACAAACCTTCAGAAAACCCACTTTTCCATCTACCTGAGACAATATCCCAAAAAAAACTAAAGTTATTTCTATTTTTGTCATGTCATTTCTACTGAGTCAAATCCACTCAACATCAGTTTGATATGATCTCAACCAAACAAAAAAAAATTCTGAAAATCTACAAAAATGAAGTTATCTGTTTTTGAAAATGAACTCTTCAAATGCAGTTGATTATTAAATTACTTCTTCAGCACCTTTACTACCTAGAACAGTTGCTCCCTTCAAAATGTTGTAAAAGGAAAAAAAGACTGTTGCCCACTTTTGAGGCAATGCAAAGAACTGATGATAAGAAAATGTATATCAGAATGTAAGAGAAAATCCACTTAAACCAGAATATTAGAAAAGTGTTTCACACCACTGCAGCTGGACATCAGTATTTCTGCAGAAAGACCTTTTAACTACACACTTTTAAGAACAAGGTTCCCTTTAAGTTGTAAAGAATGATACCACTGCACTAAAAAGACAAGCACTGTTTGAAAGGAAGCATTTATGTGTCCCAATTTCCAAAAAATGACAAGCATTTAGAAAATGTGTTGTTTTTTTTTGTCTGGCTGCAGCCCTTACGTGTGACAATATCAGCTCTTTTCCTACTGAGACATAAGATAAAATTGAGTGATTATAGCAGGAGAAACACACTTCTCCCAATGAGACCAACAAAAAAATGAGTTTGGCTACACTCAGACAGTCTGAGGAAACAGTAATGTGGCGATAATGTTACACTGAT